AAAAACAATTGAATTCTGTTATGTGTTTAGGTTGCTATACCCAGCCCATTAACTTGTGTCCTCTGTACTGGATATTCCATTCACATTTATCTTCTTTTATTATTTTCAGCTGCTCTATCAATTCCTATTGTATTTTAAAAAGGTAAAAAGGATAGCCTAAGTGTTTCACTGATATGTCATGTGATAGGCTAAGATGCTGGGAACTTCCTCTTCCATTTCATAAAAAATGGATTGCATATTGGAAGACAATTTTTTTCTCAGTTCCCAAGAGGGTGTTGCAACAATGTCCATTTAGGGTACAGCAAAAGATTTATAATGTGGCAAATTTGAATAGAGAGATTAGAGAGATTGGAAAGGTTGTTAGCAACAAATATCTTACTCAGTATACTCTTACAAACTCGGGCGAGAACGGGAGGATACGTCACCTTGATGGGGTATGATGTCTGTGCCTCCATTGCCATAACTGTTTTCCCCTCCCTTCCTTTTTTTTTTTTTAAATCTGCACCTCATTAACATCCCTTTATAATGCCAAATAAAAAGTTAGGTTGCTAAGTAGTATTATTACAGTTTAATTTTTTGTTTAGTTTCTGACTTCATTTGTTGTCTGTTTGTAAAAACAGCTTGAAAAAAGCTGCAGCTACCTGGTTTGAACTTTTGAAAGCACTTGTTTTCCAATCCAATACAGAATTTCTGTGGCTATCCAATTACAGATTCCCCAATACAGTTAAAATGTTTAGTCTTTGCTAGGCAGGGGCTCCGAGCAATTGCCTGCCTCTTGAGTTTTGCTCCACTGAGCTAATTGACCAGGAAGTAACAGAAACAGGTTTGTGATGGACAGCTAGAGGTGTGTAATAAGGTTAATATATAAAAGTGACAATTTCTATTAAAAACTGCACTTTTTGGAAAATGAAAATAAGAGGACAAACTCCACACATAAAGCACTTCAACAAGCTTAAGTGTTTTATGGGTCTGGAGCGTCTTATTCTTATCTGTTAGTGAGATAATGCCAATCAACATTCTTTAAAAACCTGCAATTATAGGGTTAATTATTATAAGACTTTTGCATTTTGTTTTGGCCAAATTGCAGTTCATCAGGCTTATCTGTAGTAGGGACCTATTACGCATCTCCAAAGCTATATAGACATATAAACAAGCAAAGGACTAGCAGGTGGACAAGCATATTTATTTATTTTGGGATTTGTAAATCCATCAAAAAAAGAGATGGTTGATGAAAAAATAGTGATTGATAGCCGGGAGACAGCCACTACATATTGCTTTTATTCACAGATCAAGTGAGAAGTGAGTGATAGCAATTCAAAAACTATATTTATATATTATATATTTAATGAATATATAATATATAAGTATACATTTTAACTGGTCTTTCTCTTTTTCCCTCTATTGGTTATTTATTGTCATTTGATATGCGAACCAAATGGCGCTAAAATGCACCAAAAAGATACTATACTATTATTTTTATTATGTACATATTTTGCAGTACACTGATTGGCCCATTTTCACGCCATTTTTTGTTCATTTGAATAATTTTCCCAAACTTTTTCATGAATAATATTTGGACAGTCTGCACCATGAAACTAACAGATGTCGGAATTCCTGAACTAAATGTAATTTTCTGAAAAAATGGTTTAGTTAAAGTTTAATAATTATTATTATTATTATACAAGTCTAATTATATTTATTACACATCTAAAATTGAAATGGCTTACTGAAACTAGTCTTTTATTTCTTTAAATACATTTCCTAAATTAATTTAAAGTATCTCTGTGCATTTTTCACATTAGCTAGCATTCATTATTTAGTTTTTTCCAACTCACAGAGCTAGATAAAATGATGTCTGATCTATGTGGGCAATTATAAAACTTTGGTAAGTACTTTACTTTACTATACAATACAGCACTATTACACACAGCTATTTTATTCATAAAAGTAATCCAAAATCGAATGCAAATGTACATTATGATATTTAAGCAATTTAGATTTCATTAACACTCTGAAGGTCATTGATAAACTTTTCTGATGTAAAGTGCAATGCAGGACATAGCTCATTGGCTGAGATTAATCAGCTGATGCTCTCATGCAATCGGCTAGCCCTGCACTGCTTAGGACAATTAATTGCAGCATCTGCTTATGAACTTCTGGCTCTCCATTGTCAGTAGTGGAGTGAGAGAGTGGCACCTGTAAAATTAATTGAGGTGCTCCCCGCACCATAAGCACTATAGAGAGCTATAGTGTTTAAGGTGCTTGGAGAGTTCTTTAAAGAAACACTATAGGAACCCATATCACTTCAAGTCATTGAAGTGGTCTGGGTACACTTCCCCAGTCCCCTTAACCCTGCAAGTTTATACAATAATTAACTGCAATAATTACCTTGCAGGGTTAACTCCACCTCTAGTGGCTGTCTACAAGACAGCTACTAGAGTCACTTCCGTGTAATTATGCAACTTTTGATCGCCTAACTAACACTGGATGTCTTCACGCTATGCATGAGGACATCCAGCAACATCTAAAACTCCATAGAAAATCATTAAGCAATGCTTGCCTATGGGGTAGTCCTAATGTGAGTGTGGCACTCACCGCACATGTTCATTAGTTACTTCCCACCGCGGGCTAATTTCGGTGGAGGAGGAGCAGATGCAGAGACCACCCAGAGCCGAGGGACACCAGCCCTGGAATCAGGTAAATGACAGAAGGGTTTTTGACCCTTTCAGAGCCACAGGGGGATCCTTCAGGGTGGGGTCATTGTATGTCACTATAGTGCTAGGAAATCAGCTTTGTTTTCCTAGCACTATAGTTTTCCTTTAAACTATATTATTATTATTTTTCCAGTTTTTTTTTTTCATGGTTTTTCCCATGTACTATAATGTAATATAAGCAAGAGTAACGAGCCAGAATCTTTAAAATTTTGATGTAACTTGCATTGTAATTGGATTTCTAATGTTATTAAAACATGAAGTTAATTTGTATCATCTGTTCCATTTTTGAGAAAAAAAAAACTAGAGAATGAATACAAACTTCTTGGGAGTACCCCAAATGGTTATTAAAGGCAAAACTCAACACATCATTTTGAGAACAAAAATTGATATTCAAGCATTTCACGCATTTAACATGATTCACAAATTTAAATCATTTGGCACTGCAGGAAAATGAGGTGGGTTGAAATTAGACTATTTAATTGAATGACAAAGTCATGCAGTATGGTGTTTTGTAGAAAACCCACAGATTGATTTAGTGAAACAAAACATGCTCAATTAAACAATCATTTTTACTTTTTTTTAACAAAAAAGTATTTTTATCTGTGTGATTCCATAAAAGGCAGAATAAAATAATAAAGGCAACTTTTAACATTTTCCTATTCGTTGCACGAAGTAGACAAGAAAATGGAACAACACTGAATAAATAAAGCAAATTAAAAGAGATATGTGGAGAGATAAAATAGATCTATATAGGAATTGTATACAGTATGAATAAACAGAATGCCAAATAAGAAAATAAGTAAAATATTTGTTTTACAATATTGTTTTTCAATGTTTGCTTCTCATCTCACTAGAAGTAGTGTTATTTTGTTAGTATATTTTACATTTTAATACTATAATTAAAGGAAGAAAAACTACCACAACAAGAGGACATAGTCTTAAATTAGAGGGGGCAAATGTTTAAAAATAATATCATGAAGTATTACTTTACTGAGAGGGTAATTGATGGGCCGAATGGTTCTTATCTGCCGTCACATTCTATGTGTCTATATAATTCCTTGAGTTGGAGGAGTTGAAGTGTGGGTCTCGGTATAGTTAAGGAGGTCAAGTGGGCAATGGTTGAATGGGAAAAATTATTATTTATTTACAATGATGCCAGTGAGTAGATCAAGACTCAACTTAATGTTCTTCTTCCACCACACTAATTCAGATTATTATGATCGTTATTGTGCTTTAGTCATGTGACCATGCAACACACCATGCAGTGGTGGCTGGCGAACATATGCGCTGTTCGGTCTGCCCCCTATTCGTCATCATTGAGTAAACTTTGACCCTGTACCTAACAGTCAGCAGACACATTCCAGCCAATCAGCAACAGACCCTCCCTCCCAGACCCTCCCACCTCCTGGACAGCATCCATTTTACATTCATTGTGAAGCTGCATTCTTAGTGAGAGGAGGGACAGTGTAGCTGCTGCTGATTTGATAGGGAAATTGATAGCTAGGCTAGTGTATTCAGTGTGCACTACAGTCCTGAAGGACTCATCTGATCTCTGCTGTAAGGACAGCACCCCAAAAAGCCCTTTTTAGGGCTAGAACATCAGTCTGCTTTTTTTTCTGTGTAATGTAATTGCAGTTGCCTGCCTGCCAGCCTGTGTGTCAGGCTCACAGCTTATACTGTGCCCACTTGCCCAGTGCCACCACTCACTCACTGGTGTCACAATAGCTTGCATTTAAAAAAAAAAAAAAAAACTTTTTTGACTGTAATATAACAGCAGTCAGTTTCCTTCACGAGTGTGCGTTTCAGGGCCTGCCCAGTGCCACCACTCACTTACTGGTGTCCCAATAGCATGCATTTAAAAAAAAAAAAAACTTTTTGGACTGTAATATAATAGCAGTCAGTTTCCTTCATGGGTGTGCATTTCAGGGCCTGCCCAGTGCCACCACTCACTCACTGGTGTCCCAATAGCTTGCATTTTAAAAAAAACAAAACTTTTTGGACTGTAATATAATAAGCAAAATAAAGAAAGGTAAGGGTGCTCCTAAGATGTATAGTAAACCATATATAATGTATAAAATATAACAATTATATAAAATATAGGATTTAAAATTATAGGATAAGTGAAAAAATAGTCCAAAACACTTATCGAAAGTTCATAAAAGCAGATTCTCCTTGTAGAGACAGCAGATCTTAGGACGTCAGGCGGAGTTGGAACTTCACAGTAGTATGCTTGAATCCGATGAGGTATATATAAAACCACCACGCCATTGGCGTGGTGGTGATAGGATAAAAAATCTATCCCAGAGAGAAACCTTTTGGATTCACCAACTAAAAACACTAGAACCAATGGGATTAAATGTAGACATCGATTTGGCCTGCTTTACATAAATCATATTGGGTTTCTGGTCTGTTTCTACATCTCCATGTTGTAATATATTGACATTTTTGTCTTCTTTTTCTCCTTTTTTTCTCTTCTTTATATTCCCCTTCTATCTTTTGGGAATTATACAGAGATATAGAGTTGTATCAAATAAGTTTTTATGCCATAATCCCTTATGTATATTTTTTTCAATAAAAAAAAAAAATAAATAATTCAGTATATCACTTTAATATTTTATATTATTCACTTTCACTAATTTAGGATTATATTTGCACTTCCTTGTAATTAGATCTATATCAAATATTTATTGAAGATCTTAATAGGATAAACTCATGCTTTATATTTCTCCATGTTGCTGCCGATATTATTTTGTTTTGTCTTATTAGATATATGACTGTTTCCAATATCTATTATCTGGGACTATTCCCCTGGCGACCACTAGATGGCTATGTTATAAATATTTTACATCTCGATCTTCCCTGTTGAAACGCACGATTGAATGGAACGCGGAAGTATGTGTCTACTTCCGGTTCCGGTTTTCGGCTGATATGGAACGCGGGATTTTTTGACTGCAATCAAAACATGAAGAATTCAGCTGGATGTGATTAATCATTTCACCAATGAAGGATGAAACAGAGAAGGACGC